GGGGGGGGGGGGGGGTGTATGTGTGTGTGTGTGTTTGTGAGTCTATGTGTGTGTCTATGTGTGTGTCTGTGTGTGTGTATGTGTGTGCGCGTGCGCGTGCGCGTGCGTTTGTGTGACTCATCAACAGAAGAAACCCAGAAAAAACCTTGACCATGAATGTCCTGGCTACAACAGAATCGCACGCAGCATGCCAATGACTCGATTGCTCTGACGTTGAGCTAAACCGGAAGCCTACATATCTTTTTTGGGGTGACAATGATCACATTTCTTATTTTTTAATAGCGTTTTTTAAATTTATAAACAAAGACTTGCCATTCATTAAATAAAAAAGATAGAACAAAACAAAACAAACAAACAAAAAAATTCGTCACATGGCCGAGAAAAAGGCCAATTTTCTTTTTCTTTTTTTTTAAAACGTGAGGCAGCGTGATGAAATCAGGCGCGTGTCAAAATTAGTAACGTGAAGAAACTGGCATTTTCCCGCAAGTTTGTGAATCTTTATCGACTTTTTTTGTGCTTTTTTTTAGCTCAACACATTTCACACCCGTTAAAGAACATTCTGTATGCACTTCACTAAAAACGTTGTTTAAAGGAACAAAAAAGTGCATATTCAGTTTCAAAGGATTAGATCTATCAAGCTAAGAAAATAATCAAAACTTTGGCGGCCATTTTCTCGCTAATTTTACCTCCGAAACCAGGCGACCACAACTCCCACCCCCTTCAATCGCCAATATCTCGACTTGTATCCAAGATAAATGGATATTTTTTTCACCGAAAGCAAGACAAATGAACAAGCTTTAAACAGATACCAATAACTCTAGATCTACATGCCCAAAAATTGACGAGCACCTGATTACACCACGTCGTGACACAAATGTTAGAGCTATGAACACTACATCTAACTGAAGCATCCAAATGTCATTTGTTAAAACATGACGTACTCTTTATAAAACTTAGTATTACTCACGTGAAAGCAAAAGTGTAAAGAATCACTCAAAAGACTGGATTTGATACGCAATTTTTAAAAAGTGGAACCTTTGTTTTGCTTACCAGTATACTGTATCATGTATCTTCTTCTCGGCCATATACATACTCTTCTCGGCCATATACATACTCTTCTCGGCCATATACATACTTCAACATACGCTAAGGACAACCTTGACAGACAGCCCTGCTTTTTTTAAAATCCGAAACCCCCCCCCCCAAAAAAAAA